TAATAATAATAATAATAATAATAATGATGCGATCGAGAAGAAGAAGATAATAATAATAATAATAATTGCTCAGCGCATTTCCACGCTCTACAACATGCTCAATGCGCTTTACAACTATTATTACCCCAGCAGACCCTAGAAGACTCAAAAACATTCCGGGCTTCCCGGAAGCATACAGTGCAATAGGCTGATTTCACGAGCTTAAACACAAAAAAAACCCTGACAAGATCTTTCACTATCTAAAAGCCGGATACTCATTTCTACTTGGGTGAAGTGAGGAAATTCGTGTAAAGTGCCTTTCCCAAGGCCAGACAGACAGACAGACAAACAGGAAGACGGTGAGAGAGAGAAGAGGAGAACAGAGAGAGGGGGAAGGGAGAGAGAGAGAGAGAGAAAAAAAAAGAGAGAGAGAGGGCAAGTTGAATGAGAAAAAGAAAAGAAGAGAGGAGAGAGATAGATAGATAGAGAGAGAGAGAGAGAGAGAGAGAGAGAGAGAGAGAGAGAGACTGACAGTTAACGGACAGTTAAAGGAAATAGTGCGAAGTGGTGTCATTAACTGTTTGACCTGTACACTTGTTATTATGTTTTCAGTGAGGGTGCAACACGAATGTTTATCTTATATACAACTAATCTAAGAAATTTATAATACATATCAATCGAATATTAAAACCGAGGTGATGACAAAATCGCCTTTTTGAATTCACCGATTCATTCATTCAGTATTTATTGTTACTCTTCCAGTTATCCCAATCAAGAAAGCGGTGCCTATAATCATGGGCGTGAACATCGGTACTTCTGTGACAAACACTCTGGTCTCCTTGGTACAAGCCAGCAACAGAGAACATTTTCGTCGGGCATTTGCTGGGGCCACGGTAAGACTAAGAGAATAGGGTAAAGAAATGTGTGAGGCAGCGTGGTTAACTCAGGCGCTCTTCAAAATTATAATGAAATCCTAGAAATTGGCTTTTTCGGCCAGTTTGGACATTTTTTTTTATTTTTATTTTTTTTGGCCCAGGGCCTTGTATATCAATTCAAAAACATTTTAAGCGTGGATTTTATGGAAAAACGTTGATTAAAGGCGCAAAAATGTAAATTTTCAGTTTCCCAGGGCTCTCCGGCTATGGAGTCCATCAAACTCTGGCGGCCATTTTCTCTCTATTGTTACCCCTGAAACCAGGCGACCCCAACCTCCTTCAATCGCAAATATCTCGACTTCTATTTAAGATACGTGGTTGCTTTTTTTTTTAAACGAATAAACAAGCTTTAAGATGATACCAATAACGCAACATGCCCAAAAATTGACGAGCGCCTGATTTTACCGCATCGTGACACCACGTACTGCCCAAGGAAATGTAACGACCGAAGAAAGTAAAAGAAACTGTCACACAGACAACCCCCCCCCCCCCCTGTCGGGTCGATGCCTGTTGTAAAAACGAACAGGGAAGAAACTAGTACTGGATATCTTCGTCACCGAGGAGGGTTAATGATGACGACGACAACCAGATTCCCTCGGGAGGGCTGCTGTCTGACGGTAGCCATCCAAAGTAAGGGAGGAAATGGTTGGGTTTTTAAAAAAGTTTTAGTAGAGGTTTTAGGTCGCTCGCAACTGCATAAGGTCATATGAGCGCTAGAAGATTAGAGCTGTTACAAGAGAGTAACAAACATAAAAAGAAGAAGGGGAGATAAGGACGATAGATGTTTGGTAGGAAAGAAGAAGCAAATCACACACCAGAGCACCCGCCAACAACCCACGAAGAAATGTGTAAAAATTGGAACATGGAATGTGAGAACACTCTACAAACCAGAGAATTTAGTTTATTTAGAGAAGCTAATCCAGGTACTCATCATTGATTAACGACTTACTCTTCATTAAAAAGAGTTCCTGTTTCCTGCCCAGGTCCACGACATGTTCAACTGGCTGTGCGTGATCGTCCTCCTCCCCCTGGAGATCGCTGTGGGCTACCTGTACTGGCTATCGGGCCTCATCGTGGACTCCATGGTCCTGGAGGGAAACAACGAGAAACCTCCAGACATGCTCAAAGCTATCACGAACGGCTTTATCGACGCCATTGTGCAGGTGAGATAACTAATAGTTAGACATTCTATTCTATTCTGAAATTTCTTTATTCGACCTGGGCCATATTATGATTGACTTTCAAACATGCAGACCTCATTGCTAGTGTTCAAAAGTTTAAGTGATCTAAATTCAATTACCTGCATCTAGTTTAAAGACCAGAAAGCTAACTCAAAATATTCAGCCTATACCCGGCTACCCCTCCTACTCCACCCCCCCCCCCCTCATCCCACTCCCCTCTCGAACTATCTCCACTTACACACAAACTAAAATGTAAAAATTACAAGACCTTTACTTCTACGAAGCCCTGTTTTAATTCTTTCCTCAGATCCACAAAGACAGAATCAACGAAGCGGCTGCAAGCTCCAACGGCACAGAGGTGGGACATGTGCTGAAGCGATGGTGCGTCAAGAAAACGATCAGCATCAACCAGACATCTCTACACCCAGACGACGTGTTCGTAGACTGTTACTCACTGCCACCCGATTCACCCCTCAACCAGACGTGTGAGCTGGCCCTGGCCGACCCTCTAACTGACGGGAGGAACGTGTCCTTGACAGTCCAGTGGACATCGGTCAAGGAGATCAATTTTACCCAGGAAGTGGAGAGATGTAAGAATGAAAACCCTTGGGGAAACTTCTCAAAATGGCGTATGGTGGAGTCTAAGCCTCAGCTTTCAAAAAGAATCCTGTCTGTATGGTCTGGTCGGATCAGACAGGATCCAGAAATGGCGATATATCAAATTAATAAACTTCAGATAGGCTTCATCAAATTTGACTTGGAATTCCGTTATTAGGTCCTAGCCTATCGATTTGAAGGCGCAAAGAGAAAATCTAAGCCAGCGTTGCCAAGTGATATGTAGTGGCCTTACGATTGGCTGTTGGTTATAATTTTCATCAATTATTAATGTACCTGATCGTGACTTGGAAAACCAAACATGTTTGACTTCGGAGAAATATTATCAAATTGTGCCAAAATGATAGTTTTTGCCCCTCCATAAACGGAAGTATAGCTGCCCTTAAATATAACAAACCATGTCAAATGGGGACTTCATGAACTTTCTGCAGTGGGCATTTGAAATAAGACATCTAATAGTAAAAGAAAGAAAAATGTGAGGCAACCTGATAGAATAGGGAATGTGTCGTCTGGACATTTTGACTTTTGTGCTCCCATCACATAGCAATGTTGTTTTATCTTATCTCATCTCATCTTATCTTATCTTATCTTATCTTATCTTATCTTATCTTATCTTATCTTATCTTATCTTATCTTATCTTATGCTTGTCTCCTCAGGTGACAGTCTTTTCTCGCAGACTGACTTGAGCGACGCAGCCGCTGGTGGTATCCTACTCGTTATCTCCCTTGGCCTCCTTCTCGGCGCACTGTTACTCATTGTGAAGCTGCTCAACTCCATGCTCTCCGGGTCGGTCTGCAAAGTGATTCAGAAAACGATCAACTCCGATTTCCCCGGTCCTTTTGCTTACTTCACGGGCTACGTCGCTCTGCTTGTCGGCTGCGGGATGACCATAATTGTACAGAGCAGCTCGGTCTTCACCTCGACTTTGACCCCCATGGTTGGACTCGGCATTGTCAGCGTAGAGAGAATGTACCCGATGACCCTTGGATCTAATATAGGAACTACTGTCACTGCTATTTTGGCAGCAGTCTCCCAAAGTGGAGAAAAACTCAGATTAGCCCTTCAGATTTCCTTGTGCCATTTGTTTTTTAATATATCGGGCTTGATTTTGTTTTATCCAATTCCATTCATGAGGCTACCTATAGGCATGGCGAAGGTTCTTGGGAAAGTAACATCTAAACATAGGTGGTTTGCCATAGTTTATCTAGTCTTCATGTTCATCATTTTCCCTGGTTCTGTGTTTGCGTTGTCATACGCAGGCTGGATATATCTTGGGGCTGTAGGGGGGCCGATTCTTCTCATTTTCCTCTTCATTGTACTTGTCAATGCTCTGCAAAAGAAAAAGCCTCGGTTGCTTCCAACAAAACTTCAGAACTGGAACTTCCTTCCCGTTTGGTGCCACTCTTTAAAGCCCATAGAGAGACTCATTGAGCGCGTCTTTAGGTGTAAATACTGCCAGACTCTGCAACAAGCGTCAAAAGAAGACAATGACGACGAAAGTGGAACTGATGAAATCGATAGCATAGAGGACAAAACCCATGTTCCCGACTTCAGTCAATCACAAGATGATCAGCAGACAGAAAATTCTTTCAAGGATAATCAGTACAGAAATGGTGTAATCACGTCTGATAAAGAAAATCTGGGCGTGGTCAACAATGGTTTCAAAAGCGACACCCCGTTATGATTTAAATACCCCCCCCCCCTCCTTTCAATAAACTGTACAGATGCTGCCAGGAAAAAATGAATGTGCTCCACGGCATTGCTTATTCTGATTGTTACAAAGGGTAATAATAATTTCCTAGCTGCAATAATGTATATATAATGGCTTTTGCGATTTAGCAAAGGATCTAAAAGCAGTGCATGCATGATAGAGCTTTATCTGGGCGTTGGACATTGAGGGGATAGACAGAGAGGAAAAAGAAGGTAAATAGCTGCGATGTATGGCTGTGATAATTGAGATGAGGGTGGTGGAGAGGGGAAGGAAGCCGACAAACCTTTGTGAAAGGCTTACCTTCACATGTAGCCTACATCCCCCCAGTGAAAGGGCCTTGGTTAAAAATGAATATTGATATCGTAGTGGAGAGAAAGAAGGTGAGGTGGCGGAGCGGTCAGTGCGCTCTTCTCCGAAGTGGAAAGTCCGGATTGGAGCCTTGTTTCGGACACGGATTTTTGTTCACCCCCTCCTGCCCACTCAGCAGTAATGGGTACCTGACTTCGAGTGGGGAAAAGAAAAGGCGTCGTGGAAAGGAACTGGCCATCTTACCACAACATCTTACCGTCCCAAGAAATTGTCTCACTAACAAGGCAATCCCCAATGTCCGGATCGGAAGCGGGAACAGCTTTACTTTATTGGAGAGAAGGGGCAGAAGTACACAAGTTAGAGGTTGTTTTTTGTCCAAGACCAAGTCTGCAAGGTAATGATATAGGGCCTACTTGACGCCCCCCCCCCCCCCCACCCTCCTCCTTTCTCCTCTTATCAAAAGACTTCTCAGATGACGCTACGGTGATGCAGATGGGCCCTCACAGAGAGGGAGACTCCGGGTGTGTATAGGTCAAGTCAGCTCCGAACGAACGGTTCAAGTAGACTTTTACCGCGATTATGCTACACCAAAAAATGTATCTTGAAAGAAGGACCAAAGCTGTGGAGATGAGATGCTTCCGAAAATTCTTGGTATCTCGTACAAAGATCACACCACAAATGATGAAGTCAAACAACAAGTGACCTTCTCACTTTGGTAAGGAAACGCAAACTGCAATGGTATGGACGCATCACCCGTTCATCCGACCTTGCCAAGATGATCCTGCAAAGCAGCGTCCAGGAACAAAGGAGCAGAGGCAGACCGAAGGAGAGTTGGGAAGACAACATCAAGGAATGTACAGGCCTGGAACTCAAAGACACGCTCGGGACAACTGAAGACCGGAAGGAGTGGAGGAAGCTGGTGGCCAAATCTTCAAAAGCGCCCCGATGGACATTCAGTCTACGGGATAGGTGGAGGTGATACTAAACAAAATAAAGCGGAGAATCACCGTTCCCATTCCTTACCAAGTCATGGTGAGGCTACTAAGAGAACTGCATCTCCTTAGTAGTAGAAACTCATCTGAATCCCACTGTTTAACAGAATAGTCTGAAGCAATGAATAAAGTGAATTGCTTGTATCGTGCACCATGTTGTCAACGCTTTCGATTTAACTGGGCTACAGAAGGATGCACATCAGTAGTTCACTGCTTGATTGTGTTGAAAAATACACACACAGAAAAAAAAAACTCAACCCATTCCTTCCAGCTCAGTTCCTGTAGCTTGCACTTTTCCTCATTAAAAAAATTAAAGAGTTTGATTAAAATTCGACACGAAATAAGTCTGCTCGTGCATAATGCAGAACTTCTACCATGACGCTGATCTATGGAGAAACATTTGAGTGCAATAAAAGAGCTTTTTGCTTTTGAATAAGGTCATCAAAAAATGAACTATGAGTATATAATTGGGGGTCATCATCATCATTGCCTTTCTCACCCTGCACCACGGTATAGGCCACGGACAAACACCTTCCACCTTTCTCTATCCTGGACTAGCCTCTTGATGTTATTCCATGTCTTCCCACTTTTCTGTACATCGGTTTCTGTGATTCTGCTCCAGGTTCCACGCGGTCTTCCCCTTGATCTCTTACCCTGTGGGTTCCAATCCAAAACTTTCTTTGTTACGCAGCTGCCTGACTTCCTGAGAGTATGTCCAATCCATCGCAATCCTACCTCATCTCTGACTGGGATCTGTCTTGTTTTCCTTAACACGTCCACATTGGTGACATAGTTGTGGGTAAGTGAGTTTTATTTTGAATTCATGATTAATTTCCGGCGATATTCAGAACAAAATTCCATCGCTTCAAACGATCTTTAAATAAATTTGAATTCAAAGTCAAAGCGAAGATGACGAAAGGTCAAATAGGCCTCACCTATATCCTTATTGAGAGAGGCCAACTATTTTCTTCTTTCGGCAATCATGAAAAAGAGGCACCTATTTTTTTCTTCTCTAAGCAGAACGAACGTTATGGGGGAAAAATGTAGGCTTACCACATAATTGCTTTGCATTTTATACATTTTTTAAATAGGGAAAATGAAAAATGTAGTGATATTTCAAAATAACCATCCGCTATAGTTTCATTCCATGTCATATTCCTACTCATTTATCAAAGTGCATTATTGTGTGTATTTTTTCTCACAAAGCCTCCATGCTAGCTATCATCGGGTTTTTGTATCGTTTTGATTTTGTCTATTTTTTACATCATGGAAGTGCAGCTCCTTCGGAAAGCTTTGTCGAGGAAAATGATAATCCTGCATTGCTTTGTTTATGCTTTTATAACTTATAATCAACTTATTTTTTCAATCATCTCTTTCAGTTCGTGGTATACAAAGCTTTTTACTCTCAGGATAGACTATCAATGTTTCTTTTGACAGCCTACATATGTGAGGCGTGCTGGCAAAATGAGCAACTTCTCGCAATCTACAAATTGAGATATTGGTCAAAAATCGACACTAGGGTCAAATTTGTAGATTTTCTATTGATGCCATATTATTTTAAAACTAAAACCCTAAAACCTGTCTTTTATTATTTCATACTAAAAATTGTAAAAATTTCACCTATAAGCGTGTTGTATCTATTTCCTTAAGGCTTGAATCCGAGAAGAAAAAAAACTCATTTTGTCACCATGCTTCACAATGGTGAGTTGTTAATTTCTCTCCTGTTTGAGCACTTGATTGCTGCTCTTTTCAAATAACCTGCCGTATGTTTGGTTTAGGTCTCTTCGTCGTACTGTGTAAATATCAAACGCATTCTTACAGATAAGCCCTGCCCGTATTTTCTTGTTATTATGACTGAGATAATAATGATGATGATAATAATAATAATAATAA